ATATCAACTAAATTAGATCTCTTTTTTAACATGTAAAAGATAATTATTTCATTTAGAATGTGTTTAGAAATCATGAAATATTACTGCGCGTGAGGTCCAACTTCGGGTGCAGTAGCTAATTTGTACCAACAAGCTCCAATACAATTAAATTTGCTACATTTATTTTGAAATATTACATATTATATTTGACATGTTGCAGTGTCAGCACACATTTTTATTCACAGTAATGATGACTTACAGTTCCGTCTACCCCTCCGTTTATCGTTTTTTATATTTTTGTTCACTGTGTTTACAGATACATTATTTGCAATGAAATCTTACTACTGTTATTAAATCATCGGTGAAGATATACGCGAGACGATTTGCTTTCAGGGTATCGAACCCGATGGCTTCCAGCAGCAGTTTGTCTCAACCATATCAATTAAATAACTCCTATTTTTTAAATTTAAATAGCTCATTTACGGTTCAGGGGCCGATCTGGGACGTGATCTGTGCGCTATTTTCATAAGCCTTTGGCTGTATAACATAAGCCCTTATACATAACAGAACAAATGTGTAGTAGAGTAGTAAGCGGTTATTAGTTGCATTATGATACGAAACTACAGAATACGATAAATATAAAAGCCTCCTGCTGTGAAACGTCCTCATACACATTATATCATGTCGTTATGAGTGCATATTATAACACGTCTTCGCCGTCCAGACGTTGTCGTTAAGCCTTCCATAAAGCTTTAGAATTTTCGGTTGAACTCGCCAATGCGCCAATCCTTCTTGTTTGTAACTTGGAAAAAAACTAACACCTGAAGCAGAAGTTGTTATGTATGAACGCTGCCATCCTGTTTAAAATTTCCCGCCCAGCACTTCGGTACAGAACAACTTATGAAGAAATTATTGATATTAACAACATCTAACACTGTAACGTTCATAATTACTTAAACAGAGTATCGTTCATACGGTATTCTGTATAAAGTTGATTGAATTATAGAGACGCATCGAGCGTGCCTTATGTATTACTGACGACATATCAGCAATAGTCGTAGGATGGATTCGTTCGGTTCGAGGACTTGCCTGTGGAAAACAAGAATCTGATATAAAGTTCTTCTTTTCACACGTCGTGGCCAAACATCAGGAAATGTTAATGTTTTAAAAGGGCAATGCCGACGCCCAAAACAAAAGCAGCTATGCTCGTCACTATAGCAGCGCCTGTCAAGCTATCCACCCTGGAGCGTTTTACAATAACTTCGTGAAGCTCTCTGGCCTGTCGATTCGCAGGTTCCATTTCCAAAAACGCTTTAATATACCTGCAATGTAACAAAGTGAAGGATACCTGGTAAAAATTAACAAGAATAAATATGGAGCCTTTGACGTGACTTTGGCATCGCCTTAGACGGCTTAGTTTATATTTTAAGAAGCCTGGGGAAAGTGGTTCAAGCTGTACCGCGCAACAGATACCTCCAAGGAAAAGTGTATTTGTAAGAAGAAAATTTTCGGTGACCATAACACCTCCGAACCAAAATGTCAAGAATCCCTTTTTGCTAGGGAACGTTGTGTGGCCATTCGAAGATCTATTTAAATATATATACAAATATGAAATTTTTACAAACCTTTGGGCGTCGCTGTATTCTCTAAGTTTGCATTTGCCGAACGCAATGTAATAGATATAGTCACGCCTGACAGTTTCATCGCCGTCCCTGAAGAGTTCTGAAATAGATGTGTAACCAAACAATCGCAGCCACAATGTGTTAACGTATTTGGTCTGTGCACAAAATAAAACCACTTAACAGCAGTTCAATAGGTCTTGTGGATTGTAAATAGATCCAGTAGTAACGAAAGCTAACGTGAATACTTCCACCAATTCCCTGCCAAAACAGATGAATAGCAAAAACCGACAGAAAATATATTTTGTCCTTGAGAATTCGCCCTGAACAGAGAAAAAAAAGAGTGGAGAATTCGCAATGATTAATGTATGCATCTTGTTAGTTTTGCATCGTATTCAAATACATTCACGTATTGGTGAAGAAGCCCTCTAATTTGGAGGACTGCTTATGCCTAGAAGTGTTGACTTGATCGATTTTTGAATACACCTAGGCGAGTCTGTGCTATGTGGAAAACCTACCCTCCATGAGGATGACGCCTCTGCAGACGTTTAATCGGTACTTGCTTTTGAGAAGACACCACGCGTAGTCGAACTTCGTTTTGGGATTAGTGATGTGTTGGCGGCATTCGTCGTTGTACTTCTGTTCGAATTTCTGCACCGTATGAACCATGGTACAAACAAATGAGCCGCAAATAAAAATTTGTATTTAGCAACATATCGGAAAGTAAACAATCTACTGAAATGCCACTCTTATTTGATTTTAATTTTGGTTTAAATCGTTACATAAAAGTGAGATTAAGCGCACGATGCCAAACACAACCAACGGTTTGTTTAGAAGAAACTAGAAAAAGAAGAGCATTACTTTGAAAATTTTCGCTTATTTTAGAGCATGCATATATTTGTCAAGATATTAAATGTCATCAAATTACTTACAAGGGTTGTATAGACCTAGGCGAAATTTTATTCTATTATAGACCATAATTTTAGTTGAAATGAACGTGGATCTATTTAACATCTCATGTTAAAACGTCTATTTAGCATGTAGCGAGCTAGTTTATTATGTTTCAGTTCTTTCAGTTTCTTTGATTGTGTGGTGTATACATGAAATACAATAAAATGAAGAAAGTCTCCCGTCATAGATATATGTATATTTTTATCGTATAAATTGCTATACGTACGGTTCGCATAACTGCAATTCACTCGCTGCACCCTTATATTTTTTATCCATTTAACAGTGTTTTGGTCGCCATTCTTATTAAATTTAGTTAGAATTTAGCCAATCATGCCATCGTTTATATCCATCTGGAACAAGCAGTATTGTCACTAATGAGAAGCACATAAGCACGGTGTTAAAGGACAGCAGTAATACACTGTTCGATGAGTCACTAGCTGTGGTTGAAATGCGTATCTGCTTGTACCTACCATAATCACCAAACCTCGCTTGTTTGCCATACTCATCGTGTCTGAACGGTCTAAATCAGTCAATATTGGTCAACTGTTAATCCATGTATCTGTCACGATGACAACAAAAATTCACCGAGTAGAAGCGAGGTTAGGTAGGTTGCATTGTTAATCCTAATCAATAAAAATGTAATATGCTTGGAAAGCTATAAGTCCCAAGTTCAGCTAAATTTGATTTTTCTTGGCAAGGCAGAAGTATGGGAAAAAAATTCGTGCAAAGCGTAAAAATTGTTCCTTATTTTGACACTTCGACAAAGCCATATTGTCTGGAGATGGCTTACGCATCATCGCAACAATTTGTGGCACTTTTTAATAAGACAAAATCTAAAAGTTTCGTTTAGTCTACATAGTCTCTAGGTTTATATGCGTTCAAGTTGACATATGTACCTCATACTTTACCCAGCCGTAATCGTACGACTCAATATTATTGAGCGTTTTCTTAATAGGGCTGCTGATTAGGTCCACCGATTCCAAAATACTAGCATCTAAAAGCAACTGTAGAAAACAAATTTAATTCGTACCTTTATCCTTTTCAATGTGTGTCAACAGAGATCGATAGCAATTCACTCAAAACTTACGTGAAGTTCTTCCTCTGAAATGTAGCTTTCAAGTAACTCCTCCATTACCGCGTTAGTTGTGGCTTCGGCTAGGCAGCAAATCACTAGTATGCAACTGACTAAGAAACAAAAATGTAAAACCAGGTGAGCTGTCTTTGTGGTCGCCAATGGTTTTCAAGGCTAAACTGGCGACATCTAGTGGTTACTGCGTTGAAAGCAATCCGAGTATTTAGGGTCAGCCGACAGAATGTGGGAAGTGCGGATAATTAGATTTTCGCAAAAAAACGTTTCGCTTGCAAGACTGGTCTATCGCAGTCGATAAAAAAAACGATGATGGTTCATTTTATATATGTTTGTAAGCCTATCTGGTCATTTAGAGGCTTCAGCCTTCACTATTCTTAATGGGTTCAATAAACAAAGCAGCCATATACGGGAAGAGAGTAGGTAAAGTCAAACCATAGGTCTGGTGCTATGGTGTATATATATATAAAATCGGTTTAGGCTACATGGTGTCCATGTAACCTAAACCAATTTTATGAAGCGCACATTTTAACACTCGGCTAAAATAGCTTGTGTAAACCAGAATGACAAGTTTGGAAGTAAATAAAATGAAAATGTTACTGACTTTAATTTGCTGCTGCTATATAAAAAAAAAACTTCAATCATTTTCTGACTACGCGTTTCTGGGCGACTTCCCTTCATCAGCGGGGCGGCGTATCCAGAACTGGCTGAGCTAAGAAACATCGTCAGCTAGAAATAATTTATCTGATATAATATGCGCAAATACTTCAATTGACAATATATTCCGATGATAAAAATCCACCCTAAATAACGCTTAATACTCTATACAGTATGAGGCGCCGCGTTTGTAAACGTTTCTTGAATCGAATAAAATTATACATACATGTATATATGATTGCTTTTTTAAAGTAATGAGGACCTTTATTTGATGTTTCAAAGAACAATGCAATAGGATCTGGTTTATCATCATCGGAATCTTTAAGATAATAACTTGTCAAAAAAAGTAGCGAACATCCAAATTCGTTTATAAGCAAATAATGAAGAGAGTTGCGCTATAACGTTTAGCTTTAACGGTAGATTTAGTTAACTACCATACTAAGCGACGATCGTTTGCGCGAGTCAGTTTTAGGATCTCCCCGGACGCGCGTTTCAGGGCGAATATCCCTTCGTCAGCGAGGCAGCGAACTCCACCCTTCAGCCCTTCCCTCCACGATACGAATATTCAATTGCTATCTCGTTCCGTTAATGAAAATTTAATTGTGGTCCGAGACTCGACGATGAGAGGTCCTTTATTGCATAGCAGGCTTAGTAGCTCAAAAAGTTTGTTGATTTTCTTCCAGTACTTTGTAACTTCTTAGTGGTTTCTCTGATTTAATAGTCTATTTTCAATTGCAGCTCTTAATAATCCGTCTTAGAATCGGCATTTTCGTAGTCCAAGCCATCAAAGTTTTCCTTTTGCTCTTACTAGACTAGGGCCTGGCGTATTTCGTATACATATCCATTTTCTTTGCTACCTATTGGGTTCCTCGCACATTTTGTTTGAATGTCTGTGTAAGTTTTCGATAGAAAGCAAGTAAAATCGTTCGTAGAAAATTAGGAATTACGGTTCGAGCTCCTGTGAGTGTATATATAGCGAATAAAGTCCGTCTCTTCTCGCTGTCGAGCCGGCGTCTCTGCTCTTTGAAAAGCCCAACAATAGACAAACATTATATGCATAATAAAATCGAATTACTGAACCTAGAAGTCAAGCAAGCTAGAACCAGTTTCGAACTGGAGAGCTAAAACATAGTTAGTCTGCATAATAACATTAAAGAGAAATATTCTAGTTCGTGTCACATAAAACGTGTATCAGGATACCTCAGGCTCAGGGCCAGGTCAATGACCCAAGTCAATGACTTGCGAATGAACTAGAACTGGGTACAGACCCATTTAGAGTTCCCACGGCTTAGCTTTCCCAAATAAATACCGAATCGTTTCTACTTGGCGCTATTCAATGACAATCAGTAAAGCTATTACTTTCATCCTTCGGACGTCGCATTCTTGCCGTCACCACTTCTTACTGTGTTACTTTATATATAATCTGACATCTCTTATGCATATATCTTTCTGCATGCGCTCTATTTGTCTATCATATTGTTCGTCTGAATATCTATTTGTTCGTTACCTAGACACCGTAACATACATGCTTACTTCAGCATTATCAAGAGTGCCGCCTTTTTACAATACGAGCAGAAAAAGCAGCTAGTACTAGCCGTCGTGCTATTAGTAACTGCCTAGTAACGGTTTCACCCAACAAATCCCTTAGGATTTCCAGTCCTACGTCTCTGGCTCTTCGTATTCACCTGCTGCTGAACTGGTCAGTCAGGCAGTTACTCGATTTGAAAAAAAGGATAAACTAATAATTCATTATTGTACATAGTTTTATGTATCCGTCAATCTATGCAATATCGTCATCATTACTTCATGCTAACTAGACAACCTGCCTATTAAAGTTGTACACATTTCTATGGTCTACTGTTGGGTAATCTTCATTGTCTTTTGTATGTGGCTAGTGTCGTATAGATGACAAAATGTGGGCTCTGCTAGAATTATGAGTTTTTCATGTGAGTAGTATTCATTTTTGTAGCGAAGTGTGTAGCTTGTTTGTCGCTAAATAGCATTTTACATTTCTTACGTACTATTTATCTATAACATGATTAGATCTAATAATGACATTTACAGCGTAGAGTCACATTGAGCTGGTTTCATAGCATATACAGATTATCAAGTGCGAATCTCTCTTCAGGTGAAGTCATACATTCCGACAGAGCTAGTCTTGCTGCTTTAGGTCTGTATAACGAGAAACTTCTTCGGAAACTTTTCGATTACGTTCTTCCTCTCTGTCCATGAAATCACTAGCAAGCCAGACATAATAAACAATTAAGATAGAAACTGTTCATTACAATGGCCTGCTCTAGTTCGCACTCACAAATATGAAGAAACCAGCTTCGGTTATCTAGATGATTGGCCGCTGAAATGACGTCCTTGAGTACCTATGTAGGTTGTCTGATCCACGGTCACGTAAGAAGCGGCCGATAACACTGGCTGGCGGTCATACTCTAATCGCACATTGTTCGATAACTTGCTACGTATGTCGGAACCCCGTACCTTGCACGAGTGATTGCATCCACGCTGAGGTAGAGGACCACACACTATAACTAGAGCCGTTTGTTTTTTTCGTCACCCAATTCTTGCGCTTTGACCGCTTCACTGATTGGCCCTTGTGTCCATTTGGCACGTCTACATTTCTGCATGTAGTTCGCATCGATTCATGCTAATTGGCGGGACCTGTACACGGTCGAGGATCACTCCGCGCACTCATCTTCGTCCGCATTCACTTCCGATATTCGAGAAAGCTGCTGCCGCTAGTGGAATCGGCTTTATGGTATATTCTACTTTTAGCGTGTTCTCTACCCTGAACAGATGAGTAGACGCTTCTGAGGAGCTAATTTTTGAGGCGTCTTAAATATTCTACAATTTCAGATTACTAGAGCTGTTTTCGCTGAGGTCCGAATGCGGGATCACCCTGGTATGGGTGACGAAAACAGTAACGAAAGTGTCACGCTTATTACGTACGCGGAGCGTGACGGCTTTTCTAAGTCAAATTTACTATTAACAAAAGTAACTTTCTGGATGAACTTTTCAAAAGCACGCAATACAAAGCTGTTGTAGAAGTAATCGCCCTGTTCTTAGGTAAGTAAAAATTCCGATGGGCAGCTATCGCTTTTGGTTGGCTTTGCAATAAGTCAGAAAGCCTAGAATCGTTGGAGGGAACGTAGGATATGGGCTTTGAATGGACTCCTCGGACGCACGTTAAATAAACGTCAAACAATTCAAATTTGCTTTATTAATTAGTAGCACATGTGAAAGCACGTTGTCCCTATAAAAAATCACGGGAAATTCAGTCGAAAAGTGGTTTAGGCTGGGCTGTTTTTATTTAGACTAAATTTTCGACACCTCTCACAAATTAACGACGTCCAAACATGATCACAAGTTAATTTTCGTGTACACCGTTCTCTCTGTATGTTCGACGACTAAGTGCATAAATAGAAACAGTAGTAGTTATAAAGATATTAATGATTTAGATAAACCTCTACTACGATACCCCTTCAGCCGTTCGAACAGGTATTTTTTCTTTGCAGTGTTTTCGTTGCCCCATGTGTCGAACTGGTCAGCGCACAAAACTACATATTATTCGGGCTGCATATGTACCGGCGCTACTATTCCTCTAGGTGTCCATTAATAAAGCTTATTTTTTCTAGATAGAATACTTACGCATTGGCTATCGATACTCTCAGAACAGGTAACCGCCAAATCTTACTCATAACGGGCTGCAGATCTTCGAATTATGAAATTGCTGCTTTTGTTTTGGTTCGCCTTTCTATTTGGTATGCTTTCTTTCATGACGCATCAGCCAATAAAAAGCATGCCATAACCCGGATTTTGCTTTCAATTCAATGCGACTTACTTAAAAGGTCAAATCTCTGTCATTGCTTGCTAGTGTATTTCGTAAGTCTTTAATTTTATATAATTAGCAATGCTCCAGAGCAAATCGACAGCCAGGAGGTTCTAATTACTGCAAGTACCTTTGTTGATCTGTTATTTGTAGGTAAGTGTACAGGACAAACTCCATATTGATATTCTGGAAGTTGCTGATTAAGTTTTTCGCTTAAAATGATAGGTCATTGCATTTATAAATTCTGCATACGGCCTACTGTTCTGTTAATTTATAGTATAGTTAGCGAAAAATCTATTACGATTGCACTAAGTTAATTAATTATATGACGTACAGGCGAAGGCTGCCACCCAAACTGGCGAAACGGACATACTTATCTAGACATTTCGATATTTAATAAAAAATAGTTTTTTTCACTCGTCCGCAACCACAGCGCAGACTCCTTCACTGCACCGAGGATAGTCCCCTAAACAGAATCACTAAATACATAAACTCTTCAAACTGCTCTATTCGAAGAACAAACAAGTTAAAACTGTGTTATGTTTTATACTGTATATGTAGGAAGGAAAACTCTACTAATAGTTCAATATAAAATCGATGCTAAGCCATAGAGCCACTATGATATATAAGGCAATAAAATATAAAACTCAAACGAAATCTCAAGGTAGCAATC